TTCCCTGTTGTGTAAGCTTTAATTTATTTAGGTTTTAATTCATTTGATGTTGTAAAATGATAAGTGTGTATATATAATGTATTTATAATTGTAACTTCCATAAATAAAAAATGGTATTTATATGTTTGAGTCATTTATTTATTAAAGTATTGCTAATAGTGAACCATTTTGAACTGTGTGCTGTTCCTACTTTGATGTTGCCTGATGATAGGATGTATGAAGCAGATGTGTTTTTTATTTTGCTTACACTAATCATATACCTACTCTCCTTGCAGGCAAAGATGACAGCAATAAGAGGTCTCACCCAGATGACTCCCCACCATCAAGTATTGCTGACGATGCATTCAGCTTTGATGGTGGGAGCACAGCCAATGGGGCATCACTTCAGGTGAAACCTCCAAACTCCACATACAGTAAACCCCGAAAGTTTTTCAAAAGTAGAAATGTGGATCCGGTGAGTGAGCCTGTTGCTGCAAAACCCAGTATTATAGAAAAGACTCGAGCCAAAGGATACGATGGGCTGAGTAACCTGAAAATACCGCCCTTGTCCTCCTTTGAGACCCCAGACTCGAGTCAGGGGACAGTGAAAGACAGTGTTGATTTGTCAGACCAAAGTGCTTTTGACAAACTTGTGACAAGTGGTGGAAACAAATCAAACTTCACAGAGGCTCCAAGTGGCCAGAAATCTAGTAGTGGGATCAAGCTTAAGATTTTCAAAAGTCGAAATGTGGCCTCTTGTTCTCAGGAAACATATTCTAGCACCGTGGAGCTGCCCAGTGACGACTCCCGTGCAAACAGCGCCTCGACGAGCGTGGCCAGTTCTCCATCCACAAAAGACTTGAGTGAAGAGAACCGAGATTCGTCGGAGGAGCTCATGCCCTCCAGCTCCCCGCCGGCAGAGTACAAAGAATCCCAAGTCAGTTCAACATCTCTCATATCACAACAGAATGCTTACCATTCTCCTGAAAGACTTGCCTCACCAGACAGGACAATTAACTCGACTTACGATTCTAGTTTTGAGTTCGCGGGACTGGTGGACCAGAGAACTGGGTTGCCAATTTTAGGTGAAGATAGTGACTATAGCTTTTCAGGTACCAAATCAAACAGTGAAACTCCCCAGTTAGGCAGCAAAAGAACCTATGGTACCAAAGTCTCAAAATCTCGAGAACTGAACAAATACATCAGCAACAAAATGGTCTCATTGTCAGACATTGATACTCAACCTAATACATTGAGTGAAGTTTGTAGTGGTTCCTTAACTGATGATTTTGATATATTTGGTGTGGGATCAAGTGACTTCACAGAACCACAGAAAACCCCTCCTCCAGTCACAGGGAGAGTGGACAGTCCCACTGTGTCTTCAGGGGGAGGCGGAGAGAGTGATAACTTTGATTTGTTTAGTACAGATTTCGATGAAAATGATATTGAAGACCGGACCAATATTGATTGTGGGACTGGGGTGTTGCCAGTCCAAAAAGACTCTCCTTCAATGGGTGCCACACAGGAAATGGAGGACTTGCTTTTCTCGTCTCAGGGTTCATTAATGACTTCGCAATCGTCCGCCACTTCCTCCTGTGCATCTTACAAGAGAAGTAATTCCACCAAGTCTGAGCCTGAGGGTGTGAAGAAGCCAGAGCAGCCGCCACTGGTCAAGAAGCGCAGCATCTTCAAGAGCCGTGATGCTGACCGCGATGCAAAGAAGAGAGCAACGTACAGACACAAGTGGCACGACCAGGAGGAGAAGGACGATGCAGCTAAGGAGAAGCCGACTCTTCAGAGCAGTCAGAGTGTGAAATCAGCCACATCCTCCTTTGATGACTTTGACTTTGACCCTCCAGCCACCCTCAAGAGAGTCCAGACATGGCCTGGATCCTCATCAACTGCTGACATGGATGACTCCTATGACAACCAAACAGTGACCAGTGTCAAATGTGCAAAGAATGCAAAACAAGTAAGAAATTTTCATGATTTTTTGCATTCACTTTTACCTATTACAGCAGTGTAAGAGGGTTGAGAAATTCATGTTTCTGAATTTCTTTCACTTTTTACTTTATTTGTACAATATGTAATTGATGTTCAGTAATCTTCTATAGAAGGCATAAAGGCAAAATAAACAGTGTACATCACTTGAGGCTGGTTTTCAGATATTTTCTTCACAGAACTGCCAATTCTCAATTATTATTGGATAAGTCTAGTATTTATTTGTATTATCATAAGAATCTGAAAATTGATAGGTTTGATTTCTGGCAAATACAGGACATGTTTGTTGCATTAACTAATATGATTATTGTATTATTAAGAAGACTACCCCTAAGGAAGCTTAGAGGATTTTCGATAAGGGTTTTTAGGTTTGGATATCTGTGAATTGAAAAATCATTTTCTTTGTATAATCATAATTTAGCTTTCTCTTGTTTGTTTTATCTATTTTTAAAAAACCTTAAAGTGCCAGCTAACATTCTCATTGATTGTGATAAGGATTCAGGAGATGCCAAAACTTGGTGGTATAAAAAAGTGAATCAAAATAAGTTTCAGCATCATGCACGTAGGGAATGGAACGGGTATTGTTGAATTAGATACTGGAATCTAGTACAAGATCATTACTTTTTTATATAGAAACAAAGCTGAAGTGTCAGAAAATTATATTAGATTTTTTTTTTTTTTTTTTTTTTTTTTTTTTTTTTTTTTTTTTTTTTTTTTTTAAGTTATTGTTGTTATTCCTTTATTTATTTGTTTATTGTTATTTAATCATTATTACTATATATTAACTAGTCAATGAGAAGGTCACAAGAGATATTGAGAAATTCTAACTTGTTAACAAGTGTTCTTAATGTTTTTTGGGTTGTCATAGGATGAATATACTCCTTTAGATTAGTCATTAGTTTTTCATCTTGAGTGAGAGTAGGTGTCATAATCAGCTAAGTGATTTTATAACAAGATTTTTTAAACGAAATTGGTTGTCTGTGTACTTAAGAAGGTACAAGCATAATGCTTTTTAGCAGACACTTTTTAATCAACAATTGTAATTAACCTGATGCTGCTGGGGAAGGCATTTACATTCATGCCAATGCCCACAGTGAGAATTGTTTACAAATCGTCTCTACATATAGATGGTACCACAGTTACTAAGTTACTAACGGGCTTGTCACTAGTGCTTCGTTTTTCACTTGTTTACCCCTTTTCCCTGATTTTTTGGATATATTTTCTTTTATCTAATTTTGATATTTGCAATGTCAGTAACATTATGAAAATAATCATTAATTGCATTAATAATAATGGCATTTGTAAAAAAAAAAAAAAAAAAAAAAAAAAAAAAAAAAAATTCCTAAAAACTCAAAGGAAAGTTAAAATCATGTAGATCTAGAGGAATATTAATTGATTCTTTGGTAGCTGAGCATTTTTGAGCCGTGTATAATTAGTGTCACTATATTTGCCTGGCAGCATGGGGTTAACTCTCATTGAAAATTGAACATAACAGTTGATGGGTAGTCAAAATATCAGACTGGGCAGAAAGAAAAAAAAAAGTTTATGTGGTGGATTTCCTGTGTTGCATTTTTATAAGAAAAAACAGTCAAAACCAGTGTGATGAAGTTTCCTGTTTACAAAACCAAAGCAAGAGCCTGATGTTTTTATTTCATTTTCTTACTTACAGATACTCATACCCTCCTATTTGTTGCAAATTATGACTGAAGTAATGCCTCAGAAGTTGAAACAGTCTTGAATTAAAAGTGATGGCTGATTAATCTCTTTCTCCTCCAGTATTACACAGTTGTCAAGAATGTGAAGAGAACGCATCAGCTGCAAGAATCTGGTGAGTTCCAGGAATTCAATGACGATGTGGAATACTTCCTTGATGCCTTGCGTTCCTCCATGCCTGTCTCCACCCGGTGCCTGGCTGCATTGAACCTGGCTCAGAAGTGTATGGTGCCAGGCTTCAGGATGCATTTACGAGCTCATGGCACTGTGATCAAATTCTTCAGTGCTCTCTCAGATGCACACTCAGATCACGTAAGTTTCAAGTCTTTTTCTTGATTGGCGGTTTTGAGTGGCAGGCCTTCCTGCTGATGGTGACACTAAGCAGTCTATATTGCAATATTTCTTTGGTTGCATATTAATGTTGTGATGTATAGAAAATGAAAATGAGTATGAAAGAAATGTAGTTATGACATGAGACACTATTTTGAGTCACAATGAAGTGCATTGATTAATTTTTTTTTTTTTTTTTTTTTTTATGATTTGCTACACTTCCTTTAGAATTTTGAGTTTAGAAATATACCATTACTCTATATTTTTATGCAGTTTTTCTTCTTGTTTATTGTACTTGATTTGCCATATACAGAGACTGGCCATCTGTGCAGCTACTGTGATGTTCACGCTGAGCCAAGACCGCCTCAACATGGACCTGGACCGTGATTCTCTGGAGCTGATGCTGAATCTGCTCGACACGGATGCAGATGCCTCCGACAATACCCTCGTGGACATGGCAGAAGTGGACCACAACAAAAAGAAGATCCGTGAGCTGTGTCGGGACATGCAGAAGAAAGGCCACGCAAAGCATCTCAACCTGAACAACATCACTGTGAGTTTGCCGTGAGGATGTTAGGGTTGAGGAGTTCTCGCGTACATTTTGGCCATCACTGATGTAATTAGTTTTGCTATTATATCATCTGAGATTAAATGTTTTACACTGGCAGTAATCCTCACAAATCACATACATCTTTACAACCAGGCTGGCCACCTTGCGATGGAAACGTTGCTGAGTCTGACCTCAAAGCGAGCAGGAGAGTGGTTCAAAGAAGAGCTGCGGGAGTTGGGTGGAGTTGAGCACTTGATTCGCACCATCACCCATTGCACACAGATGTTCACCCCTGATCTTGAGACCTGGACACACCCACTTCTTGAAAAGTTGTCGAAGGTTGACCGCTGCCTCAAAGTTATAGAAAATGTGGGTGTCCTAGACATGCTATTAGTTCCTTTTGTCTGCTGTTGTTTATTTTTCAAATATTTGGATTTTTTCTGTCAAGCAAGATCATTAGTTTTCTCCGTATTCTCTGGTACAGGTGACGCACCAAAACACAGCCAACCAAGAGTACCTCCTGACGTTCCAAGACGGCATATTCCCGGAGAAACTCATGTACCTGTATCGGCTGTGTCACGTAGAGGTGCCCCTGTATCCAGTCAGTGATACAGAGAACCAGAAGACCATGGTAGGTGGGATGTCGACCGGCCAGTTGCTGGTGCAGACCCTGCTCACTACCATCAAAGTCCTAATAAACCTCACACACAACAGTGGAAAGGAAGGTCAGTTTTAGATGTTTTTCTTGAGTAACATGCATGAGTTCTAGTTTCATATATTCTTTGTCTAGTGTCTACAGCAGTCCCACTGTTACCTAGCAGAAGCCATCAAGGTTATAGGTATTGATAAATAGAAATGTGTCAGAGTTAGTAATGATACAGACTACAGTATTCTTCATGAGCCAGTTTATTACTATGAAATATATTGGTGGAAGGTTATCATTTAAAGGATAATCTTTGCATCTGATACAATTTGGATATTCGAAGGACCATGCATGTGAATTGTGAATAATGTGCAAAATTTAATTACTGTAATCGAATACTTGACCTGTAGTCAAGTTGATCACATGTTCAAAATTAGGTTCTGTGTCCATACAAGGCATCCCTTTCACACACATGCTGGCAACCCCAAGTGAATATCGGTTGTTAGTTAATCCTTGTATGGGAAAAGACAATATTGAGACAACAGGGCTGGCACTCCATGAGCATGGAATGTACGGTAGTATACGTCTCAGACAACATTGGAGCTAAAGTTGATTTATAGCTTTTTGAACTTTTGGTAGCCACAATATCAGTAGAGTTGTCTATTATTTGTGGAAAATATTGGTTAATTTTATTCTTGGTTCATATCATTTCAATTTTTCTTAATGCTATGATGCTATTATAATCTGTTGTTATAATGGATGACTATTTTTTATTTATTCATTTTTTCCCACCTCCAGCCATGGGTAGCCGTCTTCTGGGCAATGAGCAAGAGGTGTATGATATTACACTCTATTGCCTCCTGATCATGCCACGATACTTAGCACATGACACCAGATTCGAGATCTTGATCCTGGTGAGTTACCCGATTGCTCAGTGAAATCTTTGTTGACTAAGAAAAAGGAAAAGGTAAAATCATGAAAAAGGGCAATGTTACTTATGTATCATCAAGTCTTGTTTCATTCTAGTTGATAATGATTTACCTTAAAAAGAAATATTATTATTTTTTTGTTTCGTTCAATCAAGGCCTGTTGTCTTCTGTTGAACCTGGTTGAGCATAGTAAATCAAACCGCAACCTGCTGATGAAAAGCAAGGCGCCAGAATTCCTGGATGATGATGACAATGATTGCTTTGGTGGTAAGTCCTTTTGTGTGGTTTGTTTCTTATTTTTTTCATAATGCAATAATGTTCACTATGACGGCAAGTCATAAGAAACTTAGGATAATTCATACTTCAGACGGTGACTTATATATGCTCCTTTTTAGGTTATCACTATCTGACTTTTGACCATTTTAGTTGAAACAGTATAAGAATCATATGATTATAATGGACCTGTTCAGCTTTTTAGGATTTATAATGTAAAACTTTTCTCTTACAGGCAAAGGAGAGAGGAAGGGAGCCATGCAAGCTCTCGTAGAACTGTTCTACCGCTGTGAGGAAAGTGCCCGGCAGCAGGAAGCCCACACAGATGACCTCATTGACAATGACTTGTCAGAGAAGGCACAGAAGGAGGATGACAGAAAAGATGATGAATTGGAAGAGACTGTGGCCAAGTGTGAGTTGGAGAGACACTTTTACTCATTTGTTGTCTGTTTGAAAGCTTGTCTGATTTGCTTGTTATCAGTTATTGTTCTTGTTCTTTCCCAAGATAGGAGGATATGTACAAGATTCTTAACCTGTTGGATGTATGTCCCTCACTGCCTGCAGGTGGCCCAAAGTCCAGGCATTAGGCTTACTTGAGTGGCAACCCTCATGGGTGTGTGGCTTGTAAACCCAGCCCACACAAACAATCGTTTGTGGTGACAAGACTCCTTTTCTTCCCTTTGCATTGTTATTATATCCTTTTTGCATAAGGGTTTTTTGTTTTTTGCGCTTGTGGCAAATTATTCCACCACCCTGGCCTTTGGCAAAATTTTTCTTGGTGGTCCTTTCTCAGCAGCCCTCAGCCAGATTTTTCCTTGATGGCTTGTAGTTGTCACCCTCAGCCAATTTTTTTTCATTACATGATTGTCATGTTGCCTGGATTCAGTAAATAGGCTTAACTCTTTATTTGGTGTAAAATTAAACCATGCTGAATGGCCCCAGAGTTAAAAGTCTTAATATGACACAAATGGGAAAGGGTTGATCTATTGTCTTTGAAAGATATTAGGTATTATTAAATAACTACTCAAAGTCAGTGTGTCCTAGTTTGGCCAAAATTCCTATTTATTGTGCATTAAGTAAGACTCATTTTCAATAATAATTACAGAGGACATGTTTCTTATCATATTACATATATGAACAAAATATAACTGAATATTAACAAAGTTTACTACATTTATTTCTAGTTTAAATGAAAGAAAACTGAGAAAGAACTGTCATTCTGCTTTTCTAAGCATGTATGGACTTAACCCTTTAATGATGGTATCAGAAATCTCTGGGTGTCACTGACTCCAGAGGCTTCTGGCAACCGTCCAGCTATTTGGAACTTTCCTCAGCACACTCTAGCACATTGCGATTACTTTAAAAATTGTACAAAACTAGCCCAGGCTTTCTGACCTTTACAGCATTAAGTATATTTGCTTTTGTAACTGGATGTGCCTACTTAAATGAGTTGGTAACATAATTCACAAGAACTTATTCTTCTGCATCAGATAGGTGCATTTTTTGGTCAAGGTTTTGAGCTCATTCCCAGATTCTCTGAGAATTGTGTCTGCTTCAAGGATGTTGTACTTCTTTGCAGCTGCTCTTACTGACAGTCCATGCCTAAAAAAAAGTAAAGTGAAACTAAACTGAGTATACAGTAAAAAACTTGAAGGATAAAAATTATTATACCAGTGCTAGTAGCTTATGTAAATATGAGGATATATATTTAGTTTTTATTGATTAATGCTGAAGTATGCAAACATTATCATCAACAATGTTTTAATGCAATCATTATTACATTTCTATGTCTTCAAAGACTTCTTGCAAGACATTTTCTAAATAGGGACATCTCTTCTGTGCAGCATTCTCAGATTTCTTCTTCTTCTTCTTCTTCTTCTTCTTCTTTTTAGTTATAAATTTATTTTACTATAATGATTGCTGAATCAAAGAGGACTGCTTATTTAATATAGTCAGAGTGTTATGTCACAGAAAATGTCCAATATATACTCATATATCTAATTTGGACGCACGCTCGTTTTGGTTTTACGCACTGCCTCCTAAATGGGTATCACATTACTACTCACGGGATTTTGATCCTTTTGCTTGAAAAAATTGCGTCTTAAGTGGTCAGAGTTGGCATTTTCAATCCATTTAGAAGGCATTATGTTATGTTTATTCATGTGTGTGTGTGTTTTTTTGTTTTTTTTCTCCCCAGTTGTAACACTACAGTAATTTTTTTCTTTTAAGAGAACAAGAAAGTGGACTGTGGTGTAGAGGTGAATTGGTTTGTTCATTTCCCTTTTTCTGTTCTCAGTACTACAAAAGGCAGGCCATCACATGGAGGACACACTGGTAGCTGCATACACTGCCCTGCTTACAGGCTACTGCATCATGGAGGATGAGGTGAGCTTTCAGAGTGAAACTGTGAAATGTGTTTAGAGAGAGAGAGTATGTGAGAGTTTATTCAAATATTTGTGGTTATTGTGGATACTTCTATGTGGTTGTTATATATATATGTACTTCATTGGGTGTCTGTGTGATGTAAATGATAGGTATGTATATTTGTAAGCAATTCTTTCTTAGAGACTAGCGTTTTCACTCCTTTTATTTTTCTGCAGGAGTGTGAGGCCGAGATCCGTAGCATGTTACCTGACGCCAACTTTAACCTGATGGTTGTGGTACTGAAGAAATTCCTCCACTTCATGGACCTCACTGCCACGGTAAGGTTATGTGTCAGCAGAACTAAGGTTCTCTGTGACCAAGTAGCAGGAAAAAAAGTGAAATTAAATGTTGGTAGAATCCTCTGCTTAAGAGTGGTAGCTTCCAGATGTGTGAGGGTAGTACAGATATAAAGGGATTTTAGTTATATTATGGTTTAAAGTTAAGAGATATAGTCAAAATTTTGTATCAAGAAATTACTTGTTTCTTTATTTTCCATTACTGGTGAGAAAAATTCATTTTAATTTTGTGCTCCTTGACTACCAGTATTGTAGCCGTTTAGAAATGTGTTGGTAAGGGAATTGTGTTGTTATGAAAAAAAACAACAGCAATATTTTTCTCAAAGGCATTTAAACTCATCCAAATTGTCTTAGTGTCTCAAGAGATGGGAGACTTTGATTTTTGAACTTTTAACTACACAGAAAATTTACTGTTGTGTGTGGTGGATAGTCCACTTATACAACATTAAAGAAGTTAATATTTTAATGAATCTCAATTGTCATTGAATTGATCACTGAAAAGGGAAGTTGCAGTAAAACAGAAGAAAGTGTTTATTTTGATTATTCAGCAAAGGGCAGTGTAACAGTCTTTTCTTTTCCTTTCTTCTTCCCGTGCAGACAAGCCTCTTGAGAAGCCTGAAGCCCACCCAGCGTGTGGTCAAGTACATGGAGAAGCTGGACCGCACGGAGCAGGAAGAGGCAGAGGAGGAGAGAAAAAAGCAGGAACAGAAGGAATTGGAGTTTGATGCTTTTGGTTTTTAAGTTACACAATAACTTCAGTATGAATTTCTGTCTCTGTATATAGGAAGGCATCTTTATACAGCGACTTCTTTTTTTCTTTTCATCTGTTTTATTTTTATTGTCATGGAAATGTGATAATTTATAAGTTGTTCACAGTTTATTTATTTATTTATTGTTATTTTTTAATGTAGATCACAGCACAACTGTGGTAGAAAACAAAAGAAAACAAAACCATCAAAATTCCTCATATTTTGGAGAGTACGAACAATGACACAATATTCAGGAAAACTTGTATAGAAATGAGAGCCTCACACGAGGGAGACGACACTGGCCATCCAGCCGGAATTGCCCTATGCTCTTTGGGTCCCGGCTGGGGGCGGGACAGTCGCTCCCTCTTCCTCTTCCTCCTGATTCTTTTTTTTTCTTTTTTGTCTGCGGCGCCAAGAGTACAATTTGCATTTTTCTCCCATGCATCCAATGGTAGCTTAGGGTAGGTAGTGCAATATTCTGCAGCAACCTCCACATCATTTGTATTTTTTCCCCTCTCTACCATTCAACTCTTACTGGCCAACCAGAAAAATAATAAATAAATAATATAATAATAATAATTAAAAACCAAAGATGTCAGAGCACCTTGAGAAGCCTCCCGCTGGGCTCCACACTGCCCCCCCCCCTCCCTTCCCCCTCCCTTTCCCCTGTCTCCCTCTTTCCCCCCCACCTTGCCACCCCCCCCCCCTCCCCTACCCCCTCCCCTACCCCCCAACCCCTGATGGCACAGCAGGAGACCCCCGGGCAGCAAGCATCAAGGATACAGGACGGGAGAGAGGTGTAGCTTGTAGTGTTATTCTAGTGTGTAGCCGAAGTGTAGTGTCTTTTACAGTTAAACAAAAAAATACACAAAAAATTTGAGAATCCTGACAATTGTATGATAGATGACTATTTTTTTGCCAAACTGTATTTGAAGTTTCTGTATTGAAGTCAGTATCCACTCATTCTCTGTCTAGCAGTGGTGGCTGATTGAATGCATGTTTTTTTATGTGAGTGCATCATATATTTTTTTCCTGTTTTTATTATTTTTTAAAACTTAAATGTGTTACTTTTATGTGCAGGACTTGGCAAATCTTTACATCCACATGATCAGAGGACATTTTTTCACGTGTGGGGTAAAGGCATGCAGACTCCTCTGGAAATTTTTGTTTCTACCAGTGACCTGATTTTATTAGTGATGAAGGGAGTGCATTCATGTCTTCATGAGGGTTAGTTTTTATTTCTCAAACTTCGTATGAGAGTGGAGAGTATGCATGCTGTTATAAATGTCTCATACATTTCCAGCAAAAAAAAAGAAAAAAAGAAAAAAAAAAAAGAAAAGAAAAAAGAATGCACCAATTTTTTTCTTTTTCTTTTTTTTCCCCCCTCTTTTCCTTCTATTCTTTTTATATAAATGAAGGGGTTCCCGGTGTTGAACCTTAGAACATTTCCTCTTATGTAGTAACCTCCCAGAGATCTCAGAATATAATATTTTATGTTGATGATTTCATCTTGTCTTACATTTTTTTTTTTTTTTATATAGATATACATATTTTCCCCCTGCATAACATGATATTTAATTCCCTCCCTTGTAAACTGATGAAGAGTGAGATTGTGGTATCACAGTAGTTGTGTTCATTCACATATGACGGGCAACACATTCACAGAGCCAATGTTTTGCTTAATTTCTCTGTCTCCCATCATTTTTTTTTTCTCTCTCTCTCTCTCTCTCTCTCCCTCAACTTTAAAAAGAGTAGTATACACCATGGGCAGTTGTTGTCTGCTATTGTTTATATGGCTGAGATAAGGGATCACACTGATCATGTCCTTGGTGACCCATTTGGTTGGAGTTGTAAGAAAGAAAGAAAGAAAGATGGAAAAAAAGACATTAGATCTAGTTAATCAAAATGTCTAAATATGTTATTCAGATCTAGCCCAAAATTTTCAGGAGTATAATTTCAGATAAAAAAAAACAAAAACAAAAAAACAAACAAAGGGGCCAAGTCAGGCTTAAGAAAACAACTGGTGTTTGGGTTATGTTTGGACACCTTGCCAAAAGGGTCTCTTGAGGTTGTTCGTTTTCTACCATTGGCCAAAGATGAGATATACCTCCATGTCATTTGTGAACAAAATCACATAACTGACATCCAAAGTTTGAAACAATCAAATAATATAATACATTTATTATTTTGCCAGAAACACTGTGGCTACAAGCTCAATTCAGTTTTTATTTAATGTTTTCTTTTTTTCTCTTAATATAGGAAGTCCTGTCTAATTTGCACTTTTTCAGAGCTTTTTTCCACTTATCAAATTTCATAACATCTTTTTCTCATCACCCATTGAAATTTACACATGTTAGCTTTGTTACAACTGTTGCACAAATAGAGTACTTGGTACCATACATTCCATAGGAGCTGTTGAAGCATTGCCTCACTATGAGGTAATAAATTGTATGTGTATTTGTGATAGCGCACTCTTGCAACCAAACATGTACCTAAGGCTCAACCACTGTGGTTCTGGCAGGAGCCTTTCTTTTCATACTATAATTGCTCAGTGAAATATTGTATGTGGGAATCTGCTGGATTGTAATAGGAATATGCATAGCTTAAAAATAATTGTTGAAGAATGCCAATTGAAGAGGCTTTTTAAGTTATTACAATTTCTTTGTACTGTATAGCATGAATCCACATGAAAATTTAGTTCAGCTTTCCCAGATAGGAATATGACATTGACAAAACACTTCATCACAGTGAAAGATGCATCAGCCATACCAATAGCACATCCCATATGTACCTAGAATGTTTAATTGGAAGGCCAGTGGGTATTTTTGTTTACAAAGGGTGGGAGATGTTCATCCATTTGCTTCCCTCAGTATGGAACCTAGATTGGTTTACATTATATAGATATATACATAGTAATTAATTGTCTTGTATATGTAAATCCTTTATAAATTTGTATCAGATGCATGTAATACAAATAATTTAATACTGTAGGTAAAATTTGTTTTATTCAATTGATCTTTCATAGAAATTTTGGGAAGTGCTCCATTTCATAACATCTTTTTCTCATCACCCATTGAAATTTACACATGTTAGCTTTGTTACAACTGTTGCACAAATAGAGTACTTGGTACCATACATTCCATAGGAGCTGTTGAAGCATTGCCTCACTATGAGGTAATAAATTGTATGTGTATTTGTGATAGCGCACTCTTGCAACCAAACATGTACCTAAGGCTCAACCACTGTGGTTCTGGCAGGAGCCTTTCTTTTCATACTATAATTGCTCAGTGAAATATTGTATGTGGGAATCTGCTGGATTGTAATAGGAATATGCATAGCTTAAAAATAATTGTTGAAGAATGCCAATTGAAGAGGCTTTTTAAGTTATTACAATTTCTTTGTACTGTATAGCATGAATCCACATGAAAATTTAGTTCAGCTTTCCCAGATAGGAATATGACATTGACAAAACACTTCATCACAGTGAAAGATGCATCAGCCATACCAATAGCACATCCCATATGTACCTAGAATGTTTAATTGGAAGGCCAGTGGGTATTTTTGTTTACAAGTGGGAGATGTTCATCCATTTTGCTTCCCCTCAGTATGGAACCTAGATTTGTTTACATTATATAGATATATACATAGTATTAAATTGTCTTGTATATGTAAATCCTTTATAAATTTGTATCAGATGCATGTAATACAAATAATTTAATACTGTAGGTAAAATTTGTTTTATTCAATTGATCTTTCATAGAAATTTTGGGAAGTCTCCATTTTTTTCCTTTCAAATGCAATTAATTGTACACACCTTTTATTGCATAACAGAAGCATTTCTATTACATCTATTTTTACTAAGCAGAAAATGGGCGGGAAAACCTCAAGATTACAAATTCAGAAAAAAAAGACTAGTACGTAAATGCATTTATGTCATCCACAGAGCAATAGAACTTTTTCTTACTTTTTTTTTTTTTTTTACTTTTTACTTTACTGAATTATGCTGATACTTGTACTGTTCAGTATGAATTGTATTATGTGATTAGATCTCAACTACGGCATGATTCCGCATACTACACACTTAAACTCGTACATACTGTATCATACACAAATTGATGCATTCCTACCCTTCACTTAGTAACAACTATGTCCAATACGTCTTGTTAATTTTAGATCCCCAAATGAATTTCTTCCTATTTACGGTTTTGATATGCTCACAATCTCTAGTTAAACAACATACAAAAGTTGCATTACATGTGCACATCAGGTAAAATGCTAAAGACATACAAGGGGGTAAAAACAAATCAACACGATTGTAGAAATTAAATATTTACACCCTTGCAGTCAAGCAATGGACACATTTTCAGAAGTTGAGAAAAATATATATAAAATTGTTATTGGAGACAAGAAAAAGAAAAAAAGAATTTTTATTGTGATTGATAGAAGCGAGTGGGGAAACGATAAAAAAAAAAGAAAAATACCACCTGTACTTTTCAAAAGGCCTTGATAGGTATGTGGGAGAAGCCAGACGCTTAAGTTTGTCTGTGAAGGAAGAGTTTGTTATTATTCCAGAATAAGGATGTACATTTTTTAAAGAAAGATATATAATTTTGTATCAATTTGCATGAAGTGCTAAAACAAAAAAATTCCCTTTTTTTTATTTTTTTTTTTATAAGTTATTGCCTTTTTTGAGGAAACATGTATAAATATTTCCTTTACTCACTCTCTCTCTCTCTCTTTCTCTCTCTAACTCACTCTCACTCTCTCTATCCATGTAAAAAGATTTTTTTAAGAAAGAAAAGTACTGACCGGTGTCACCTTATACCCATCAAAGACGGGGTGAAGCTCCCGAGGTAGGAATTTAGTTTCTGAAGCAGTAACAGTGGGAGGGTTATCTTGTGATGAATGGCCTTCCCGTTTTCTATTTTGAGGGCTGAAGTATTTATTATCAACTGTAAAAAGGAAGCCTCACCCATGTTTTGTGTACACATGGGGAGGCAGGCTCTGTAATGAAATATACAACTTAGACGTGCATTGTTCTTTTATTAACTTGCTGTATGATTCTGTAAATATTCTTTGGAGTACAAGATGCAAAAGGTTAAAAAATAGGTTTGAAAGAATAAGTATGTAAAGTACATAATATAAGTAATTAATGGCTTTACTGTCAGATTGAAGAAATATAACTAATATGGTTAATGTAGTAAAGAAAAATCTTTAGTTTCTAGTAATGTGGTGAGTCGACTGACTTAAATCTATGAAAGATACCACATAACAAAACATACTAATAATGAGGATTATTTAATTGACATTTGAATAATTATCATCTCTAACTTGCTTCCATACCTATGTGAATGTGCTTTAATAACTACGTGACTGTAAATCTGATTACTGGTTGGCAACTTTTATCAGATAAACAACCGGTCCTATTAAAAGAAAAATTTAATGGTGGCTTAACTACTTGGTCTATGTAGTGCCTAAAAAAAATATCCTTTAAACAATATATATAAATGTGGAACTGGGAAAGATTTGGTGATTTTTTTTGGGAGGTACTCAATTTAATTTGACTTCATTTTGATTTTTTCTTTCTTTAAACAGTGCCATTTACTTATGCAAAAAAAATGCTGCCACGCTTTTTTTTAATAGCTGCATGTGGCACCGAACAGAGTGCCAGCCCCTTATATATAATGTAGTAGTTCCTCTGAGAAAGAAGCTCCGCCGGATATATATGTCTAGAAAACGGGTAGAAAAGCTGTGCGAATTACCCAGCAGAACCGGTTTACGAACTACGGTCTTGAAAAAAATCCCTTATCCGGCACTTATTATTGCTAACATCTTTACTTCTTTCCTTTTTTCTTAACCGAGTTTACTGCTTTTCCTTTCGGTCTCTTTATTACACTCCTTTTCCTCTATGTTTCTTACTTGATTATTTCTCGTTCCGGAGTAATCATTAGGCACAGTGCGTAAAACCTACGAAATATTTGAGGTTTATGAAAAGTATAGTGAGAACTTTCTATCTATTTTGAATGGAGTATTAATATTTATCGCTTAAAAGTATTCGTATATACTTTTGTCATTTGAGTATTTGCTACACCTTTATTATGTTCATTCTGGCTATTGATGAAAGCACGACAGTATAAGGGTATTATACAGTAGTGAAATGCTATTTGTTGATGGAAGTTGAGGCCTTTTTGCAGCATTCCGAAACCCCGAACACCGATACAAGTTTCAAGTTGAATCACGGTCGCTACAAAACACGAAATCGTCGAAGTCTGTACCGATATACAAGGTTTTGAGGAAAGAAGTAGTTATTATTATTTTTTTTTCACATGGACAAGTCGATAGAAAAACTTTAAAGTACTTAATATGCTGGTATGATGTTTAATTACAAGCGAAACATTGTGGAAGCTTCAAATAAAAGGGAAAGCGTGACTATTCTGCAACTTATCTTGTTTATACAACACCACTCTTCGCTTCCCAAGGCTGTGGAATTTTTAAAAATATTTCTCATATTCAGTAAAAATATTTTGATCTTGTTACATATATTGTACTTATTATGAAATGTGGAAGTTGCACAAAAAGGCCTTTAGTTCATGCCAAACATCACTTACATTATTTTTTTCAGCGTAATCTTTTATATCTGGTACCAACATGTGTAATTAGTAAATCTAACGTCAAATTAGGCGCTAGAAGCTGGCCATAAGTAAGGCTTAGGAAATCCGGCACTGCATCTCTGGTCTTGTCCTTTCTCTCTCAGTTCCTCCCATATATGCTAGACAGCCATGTTCCCTACAATACTTTTTTTCGCTGCAGTAAATCCGGATAGAAAAATTACTTTATGTCGTAATCAAATGTAAAAGGGGACTAAGTCGGATAAATTATACCTGTTACCCCAAGCACTGACGAATAGTGGTGACGTCATACCGTAATAATATGAAACATAAGTAATTCAAATGTACCGAATTTTATTTTATCTTCTATAGGCAAGAAAAAGTCCAAAATCAGTAGTCCTTGGCACTCTCTCTTCCTTTGCGTGCTTATATTGCTCAGTAACCAACCAATCCAGCACGACAGAGCAAACCTGGAGGGATCTGTTATGTATTTATTTCTCTGGATTAAATAAATGCAAGGGAGAGTAAGGTCGATGATTTTCAAATATCATTAACCTTATATTTCTGATATTAATTACAGAAAAAATATTCTTGGTGAAAAAGATAAGAAGCTGTCTGAACAAAGTGCTTTTCGAACGTACTCATTGTAAAAGATCGATAACCAGTGGGAGAGGAGAAAGACTGGAACTGAAGACAATACAACGGAAATCTCTGTCTCTATAACTTGTGATTTTATATGTACACACATACACCGGCGCGCGCGCGTGCACACACACACGCGCGCGCATGCACACGTATTTAGGTATGCATGCGCGTATGGATATATGTATGAGGAAGAAAGAAAGGAGAGAGAGAGAGAGAGAGATACAGAGAGACAGAGACACAAACAGGCAAACAAATATATATATATATATGTGTGTGTGTGTGTGTGTGTGTGTGTGTGTGTATGTTTGTGTATGTATATATATACATATACATACACACACACTCCTATACGTATATATG